AGCTTTTTTCAAAGGCTTCCCGGTCTCCATTCGATGGAAAATGCGTGTAGGGGCATAGTCCGAAACAACGGAGGCCGGGCGAGGAAGACTCCGGCGGACTACTGAATGGCACCTGGAAAGCTTTGAAAGATGCTCATTTTCATCATTTTCATGCCCGGGAAAGCCCAGATATGGGTTCCACATGGCGAGAAGGTTCCGAAAATCCGAAAAATTGGAAGACGAAATTCTGCCGAGACACTGCAGGAAGACGAAATACTGCCGAGACACTGCTTCCTCTAGGCCTTCTGAAGGCGCTGAATCTGAATATGGAGTCGAGAATTCGCAAAATCCCCAAAAAACCCCGTTTTGGAGGACCCGTAGACGGGTGCACGGCATGTCGCAGGGCTGTGGCGCTCTTATACGCCGGCGACCTGCAAGCCTGCAGGCCAGCAAAACTTGCAAAATGGGCGCAAAATGGGCGGAACGACCAGCTGGGGTAGAGTGACCAGAAGCGGATTTCTCGCTCCAGAAGCTATCTTTTGCGGTGCGACCTGGGGGTTGGCCTAGTATGGGGGCCCATACTAGCATGCCATCATAATCTCATCAACCCCCATTTTGGGTAGACAGTGCTTTTAATGATGAGGCTGAAATTCTCGGTCCTTTCGACGCAGAATATCCCAAAGTTGTTATTATGGTCCCAAAACTCAAGGTACTGATATCAATCTCTTTAAGTTAAACACGCACCGAAAAAGAAGAAAAAGGATGATGGGACGAAGACTGAGATGACGACTGCTAAGAGATTGAAAAGAAGGGATGCAACCAAGGACACCAAGGACAAGGAACTTCTGACTGTGAAGGTATAGTGGAAACATAAATCTATCGCATAAACACTGGTCCATTCGAATCTCTAACGCCTCTACAGCATTACACCTCATTTGTCTAATTTACAGCCAATGACCGTGGTTCAAACGTCTCGGCCGGCTACTTTTGCAGCAGATATTCCAGAAGAAATGCCTCCAACAGCATATATCGGTATCGTCAAGAAAGGAGCCCTTTCTCCTGCCAACATCCCTCCTGCTTCTCCTCCTCCACCTCCTCCTCCTCCTGCTCAGGATGCTCCGAACTCACCGGCACGACCGGAAGCTGGTTCTCCTGCTCCTCCTGCCAGCCCGTATCCACCTGCACCTACGCAGCCTC